GTTATGATGGTCTTGAAGGGCACTAAATGAGACCTCCGTGGCTTGAAAAACTTACTAACACAATTCTCTGAAGGATGACCTTACTACCATAGAGTAAGTTGGTGCTCTGAGGATCAGCTTGATTCATTCCTGTGACTTAAATATACTCATTCCAAAACGGAGGTATACAAGGCCCTCTGCAAGTTGAAAAAAAAAGCAAATCACTGATATCATCTCAAAACCCTTTCCCCGAATTAGGCATCACCACAAGTCTTATGCTCAAGGCCAGTGCTGAAAAGATAACCAGGCCGGACATCCCCAACACTTCCTGGCCCCTAACTCTGTAGGAGAGAGTAAAATAAGTTGTGCTTTGTCTAAGCTAAGTAATGAAAAATTTTATTGAATTGAAATAAAAATAGAAGAAACCTTCTATATAATTTGTCTAATTTTTTCTGGACTCATTTACCTGAGCTAGGTTTAATTAAAGTTCCTAGACTGTACTTTATCACTGGCCACAAGCTGAGAGTCTTGTACCCACCATTTAATTGCTCTGAAGCCATGTGCTTTTCACATGCTGATAAATGACTACATTCAAAGTGTACAAAGTCCTTCTAAGAATATACAGATACTGATTTAGAATGTAGCCCTACCCACATGGTGACCCATAAATAGCAAAGGACATGCAGGGCTTCCTTAGAAAACTCTGGTAGGATGTGACAGCTGAGATCACTGAGTGAGACAAAGGCTATAGCCTACAGAGCCCTGTGTCACCAAAAGGGCATCTGGAGGGCCTTTTTTTTTGGAAATGGGAATATATTTCCCAAGAGGCCTACACAAGCCTACCTGACCACAGTGATGTGAAATTTGCAAGTCTAACTATGGGTTTAAACTGCTTCTATGTGACAATGTAATTCAAGTTCCTCCTCAAGAAGCCAGAAACACAAATTGTCACTCTAGGCCAGGGCAGCAGACAAGAATGGGAACCTAGCGGGAGGAGGACCCAGGAGGGGAGTCCCTGGTGGCAGAGACATTCATTACTCAGGGGTTCAGAATTTACAGCCATTGGAGTATTTGGTATTTCTTTTTCTTTACTGAGCAATAGGGGCAAAGTGTAGGATCAAAAGATAAAGCTGGTATAATCTCGACGTCCCGCAGTCACAAGCATTCGTGCTTCCCATGAGAGGCCAGGGCTCGAGCACACTGGTGCACAGAGCAAAGTGTCCTCAGGCACGCAGTTGCCTTCTGTGCACGCCAAGACTTAGAGGGTGTCTTCCTGTGGATATGAGTGCCCCACTGAGTCTGAACACTGAGTTGCATCCAAGGGAGAGACTCCAGAACATGCCACAAAAGAAGAGATATGAGAAGCCTCCGCAGTAGCTCTGGCTGGGAGTAGTAGAGTCAGAACTCGGCTCAAAGACAGGCACCCGCTGATGCAGCTTCTCTGCCCTTGCTCAGAAATCCCTAAATTCTCAGGGTAAGCGACCCATGAAGGAGAGGCCAGGTAAAGACTATGGAAAAGCATGCTGCCTATGACTTAGCGGCAAGGCAGGGCGGGTGCCCTGATAGCCCTGGGGCACTAAAGTCCCATCCCCTGGGTTTGAAATCTGTTTTCTTTTTAAGCCGTGTGACCTTTAAGAAGTTATTAACCTCTGTGAGGCCCAGCTGCATTATCTTTAGACAGGGATTATTGTGATGATTGAATGAGACAATTCACATAAAACGCTGAACAGAGTAATTGTCATATGGTAAGTGCTTCATAACTGGCAGAAATGGTTATTGTAGCACCTTGATGAAAAAAATATATAAAGCTAAAATAAATCATACTAGGTAAGAGGAAACAAAATTGAAAAAATTAAAACAGAACAGAATAATACACGTCATCTTCTGAAAATACGTTACATTAATTAAGGATCTAGATCCAAGGGCCGAGAGTCCTTCAGTTTAAATTTTTTAAAAAAGGAAATTCACGTGTGTGGGGGGGGGAGGGGGGTGTCCATGCACATGTTTGCATTCTTGAGTATTTTAAATTGTTTATGGAACGACAGGGGGATTTTCTAGGGTTACATGGTAAGCGCTTTTAGCCTGAAATGCAGTGTAACAAATCACTGGGCAAGGAACCCACTAAGGCACATGGTCGAGGTTTTCACGGTGTGACGCTCCAGTGATGAGGCAGCCTTGGGAAATGCTTTTGGAAGGAATTGACCACAAGCCAGGGAAACAGAAGGAAAAGCAGGATTTGTGGGCAGCACCTAGCTGGTGAGAGGGGTTTGACCATAGCCTAAGGGAGTAAACCCTGGACTCACACAGCAGAGGCCCTTGGTCCCGAGAGTGCAGGGGGCCTGGAAGAAACAGTGTGGCCCTCAGCTGGGGGCCAGGAGAAGAGACCAAAACTGGCCTGGGTGGGCAGAGGGAGGTGACAGCAGGGCACAGCTGCAAGGACTTGCCGGATTTTCAGTAAGTGCTCAGGAGAATAATCGCACATGCAGGCAGCTCCACTGTGGCACCTCGTACTTGACTTCCGAGAGCTGCCTGGTGACACCCACACTTCCCTTTCCCCACCTCTGTCTCTGCTCGCTCCTTTGGAGGGAGGCCTCTTCCCCACAGCACTACAGGGCCTCTGTCTACACCAGTGCAAGTCCTAGACTAGAACACGGTGAGCTTCAGTCTTCTCATGTGTTGAGCATTCTGCACACAGACAATATTACAGATTTATCTACTTAGATGGGAGAGAGCCTCACTTGCCTACTGCTGCTTGCAGGAGCCTACAAGGTCCAATTTGAGGATTCTCATTTCAAAGCTCTGGTATCTATCTACATTTACCATTTCAGGGTCCACATGGACAATGGGATCAGGGAGACATGGTGTGAACCCTGGCTTTGCACTTGTCGGCCCTGTGCATGGAACCAATTACTTGCCCTCCCTGGACCTCAGTTTTTTCTTACTGAATGGAGATTACATAGCCTTGGTATGAGAAGTGACAAATCTATGCAAAGAGATCATGATATTAGACGAGATCTTATATATGAGCAAAGCACCCCACTCAGTCCGTGGCACACAGAAGTCATTCAATAATTGCAGCTGTTGGGTATTGTTGCTGCTGGTTTGCATACTAATATTCCAGAGATATAAAAACAAGGCTGACAAGATTTATTGCAAACTGAACTGAGGCCCTTACTGATTTAAACCTGGGAGGCTGGACCTGGATGAGCCATTTAAAAAGCAATCTGCTCCTGCTGTCTGCAGTTCACTTCCCTCTACCTGCAGCGGCCATCTGACAACGCAAGGGAATTGCTATAAACAGTTGATGAGGAGTATGATGGTGTTTGGGAAAACTGTACAATTACTCCCTCATTACTGTGCAGTCAGTGAACCTGTCATCTGCCATCCAACTTCCTATGCTCTCTCAGTTTCCTAATTATCTATGGTACTGATTCATCTGGCAGAGGAAGGAGGCCTCAGAGCAAGGTTCTGGAGAGTAGGCTTTAATAAATGTCTGTAAGACCACAGAAGTGAGGGCCTCACCCAGGACCAGCCATGCAGGTGGTATGATTTTCCACAAAAATGAGAGCAATGCCTGCAGGTAAAGGCAAGTCTTGCCCACAAGCTGGAAGACAGGCCCTGGGTACCAAAGGTTATCTGGGAGGACTTGGAAATGCTTTCCTCAGTGTTCAGAGGAATAACAAAGGAGTTATCAATAAAAGCATGCCCTGCTTTTCCCACACTTGACATTTTACTTATCTGCTTATTGACTGTAGTCTAGTTAACACCTCCAAGGTCTGTCCGGAAAAAGCCCAGTCATTGTTAATATAATGAGAATGGTTTGTGCCACATAGATCTAACCTGGCAGCCAAGGAGAGTGGACTGGAATGCACAAGCATAAACAATGACTACCCCTCTGTAGTAGTCAGTGGGGGCGGTAGATGCCATTGAGTGTGTGTACTGTGTGGCCATCGCATTCCAAATGACTGAGCAAGTAGAGCAAGATATCTGTATCAAATTTTGTGTTAAGCTTGAACATTCCTCCATGGAAACTATTCGGAAGATTCAGAAGGCCACAGCTGTGGGCAACTGGTGATTGGCAGCCTTATCACGACAATATGCGTGCTCATACATCAAGTTTCATGCAGAGTTTTTTGGTGAAACATCAAATCGCCCAGGTGGCCCAGCCCACCTACAGCCCAGATTTGGTGCTCTGTGACTTCTGGCTTTTCCCCAAACTAAAATCACCTTTCAGAGGGAAGAGATCTCAGACCATTGATGAGATTCAGGAAAATACAATGGGACAACTGATGGCGATTGGGAGAACTGTGTGAGGTCCCAAGGTGCCTACTTTGAAGTGGACTGAGGCATCATTGTCCTATGTATAATGTTTCTTGTATCTTCTATCTTCTTCAATACATGTCTTTATTTTTCATGGCTGGTTATCTTCTGGACAGACCTCGCATATTTCACTTCTCAATCACTGACTCATTTGTTCACACATTAGTTCATCCATTCCACATGTACTTATGAGGCATCCACTGTGTGCTAAGCACTGTTCCAGGCACTAGTGATACATCAGGGATAAAAGAGACAAAATGCCCTGTCCTCAGGGGCTTACAGTCCAGCGGGGAGACACAGGCAGAGGAAAGTACATACAGAGTGTGTGTGAAGGTGATGGGAGCTGCGTAAAAGTAATAAAGCAGGAAAAACAGAGGACGTGCTGGAGAGAGGGGGTGCGATTTTAAGTAAGGGGCTCAAAGAGGCCTCACTGGGAAGGTGATATCTGAGCTAGGCTTGAAGGGTGGTGGCCTTCCCCTGCTTTTCTGGTGGCTATATCAAGGTCACACCCTGCCAACCAAGGCAAGCCCTTTACTTCTAAGAGCGTTCGGCCTCTTCCTCCCTTGCGGTTAAGATCTGTGTGCTCCAAGCAGGCGAGGGCCCGACCTCAGGGGCGGGATCTGGGCCACAGGGGTGGACACCCAGGGTCGACCTGGGCCAGGAGGTGTGGAGTGTGCAGAGGCGACCAGAGCGGTGCTCACCTCCTCCAGCCGCCGCCGCTGTTCCTTCTGCTCCTCTATGCGCTTCTGGCGCTCTGCCAGCAGCTGTCGCTTGTGCTCCTCGTTCTCCCGCTGCTGCTGCTCCAGCTGCTGCCTCCGCAGGGCCTCAGACCGCTCCTTGTTGGCCAGCTGCAGCCTCAGGAAGTCCCGCCGCAGTGTAGACTCCCCTGGCAGGTTCAGAATGGAGCTGTGGGCAGGAGGACGAAATTAGGACCCCGCATGGGGCAAGAGCAATTGCTACCGTGGGTCTTGGGGGAGGAGATCAGGGCAAACAACTCCCCTGTAGGCAGCTAAAGAAGCTACATGTTCAAGGACAGGCTCTTAGGTCCTACATGAATTACATTACTCACCCCCAAAAGAAAGAGTCAAGCTAAGAGACTAGTACCCAGACTCCCTTTCCGTGTGACTATTGCAGGCACATGCTGTCACCATCCCTAGAGGGATATCTCATTCCTGAAGTCACCACCTCACTCCATGACCATCCACACTGCTCTCTCACCCTTGTGACACGGCAAAGATCTGTTTCTAAAGTTTTTAGTGTGTGTGCAAGCCCTAAGCCCCACATAAGCTTATGTCTAAGAAAGGCAAGAACAAAGCCAGAAGATAAAAGTTAATCAGGAGCAGTGAGGGGGCCCACTCTGTGTAGAGAAGTGCAGGCCACCCCACTCACATCACCTCCTTGACTGCTGTCACCAGCACCCAGGAGGCAAAGGACAGGCCGCTTACAGGGAGATGCGGTGAGCAGGGGAGGGGAAGTGCTGGAGCCAAGGCTGACAGAGCCGGGACCTGAACCCGAGTTGGCCGAGTCCAAGGCTTGAGGACTTGCCTTGATACCGCACTGTGAAAGTGAAAGTTAAATGGTTTGGTTGTGGCCACGGAGGCTGCACTGATTTCCTAGGTCCCCTTTAAGCACCGTGAGCCTCAGTTCTACATCGTCTGTAAAATGATGATTGAGCATGTGCGTGTGCATGTGTGTGTGTGCACGCATGTGACAGAGAGAACAAGGGGACGGAGGACACCAAAAACACTGGTGGCTGATGGCTGTCTTAATCACCATCTAAATGTACGTGTATCACTCAAAGTTATGGACACAACAGCTTAACAGACAGGTAGAGAGTGGCTCCTGTTTGTTCATACAAACCTAGTCCTTTTAATCTTTCTGGCAGCTCTCACTTGAAATAAATGCATTAAATAATCCTTGGGTGCCTGCAATGTAACAGGAGCTCTATCATAGGCTCTAGTGGATACGGCAGGAGGTAACCTAATTCTCTCTCTAGAGTTATCTTGTGGGGAAGACAGAAAAATAATTAGGCAGACAGACCAATAATTATAAATAACATAATTTCAGGTACTGAAAGGATCTATAGAAGATCAAGTGTGATAGTTCATGCGTGACAGAGGCCAGGTGAGGATTAAGGGTTTTGCTTTGGATGAGATGGTCAGGGAAGACCTCTCTGAGGTGACAGTTGAGCTGAGATTCAAATGAAGAATCTGTCATAGAAAGTAGGGAAAGAACACTTTGGGTAAAAAAAAAAGCTAGAGTTGACCCTTGAATAATGTGGGGACTGGGGTACTGACCTCTTCCTTACACAGTAGAAAATCTGTGCATGACTTTTGACTGCCCCCAAACTTAGTTATCTCTCAACATCCATGAGGGATTGGTTCTAGGATCTCCCCATCCCCTGGAGATACCAAAATCCAAAGACGCCCAAGTCCCTTGTATAAATGGCATAGATCAATGCATATAGTCGGCCTTATGTATCCACTGACCTGTGCAGTTCAAAACTTTTAACGGTCAACTGTATAGAGGCCTGTGGTGGGAAAAAAAGTGTCACCTCTTTGAGTAACTGAACTCCATCTGACCTTCTCCAGAGCAGAATGAATGACAGGGAGACTGGTACAGAGGAGGTCAGAGAGGCAGGGCCGTGAGGGTGCAGTGTATGGCTTTGGAAGCCACACACCGAAAGGTTAAGCAGGAGAGTAATGTGATCTGAATAGGCAGCAGTGCAGGGGGCAGGAGGGCAGGCAAGGCCACCAGTCGGGCTGCTACTGTAGCGGCTCTGGGGAGGGAGAGGAGGGGATGGAGGCTGGGAGAATCATCTGGGGACAGAGATAATGAAACCTGTTGGTGGACCTAATATGTGGAGTGAAGGATGACTTGCAGGTTTGGTCTTAGTACCTGGGTAGTGGTGGTGACAATAACTGGGATGGAAAATGCTGGGGGAGAAGCCACTTCGGTGGCAGTCGAGGAGGTGGTCATTCTGTTTTGGAGAGTGGTTAGTGTGCTATGTGAAATACAGCTATAAAAGACATAAAAAGCGTCTGTTTGTGACATTCCATAGACAATGCTTGGATTCTACTAACAAGTCTCCTCTAAAACTCTCAGTCTTTGTGTAGAACTCTAAAACAAACCCCAAAGAATAATGCTTGTTTCAGAAACCTCACATGCACACGAGGATGCTCTGTTAACATTAAGTGAGTTAAATCAATGTCAGGTGATCTGAGCTGTATTACTGACTGAATCATTAAATTGGTGTATGACCAGGTTGCCACCCTTGGACTGTTACCTCATTTCTAAAATGAGATAACCACTGTTCCCTTCTGCATTTCAGAATTTCATGAAGATTAATTAGATGTGTCCATAACAACAGGACTTGGAACATAATCTTCAATGCAATATGATGACATGTTACAATTATAGAATGCTAAGGCATGGCTAGGTCAGCTCACTAAGTCACTCCTGGCATGTAAGCAAGCATTAGTTAAAACGGGGCTTTTCAGTTCTCTAGGGAGAGATCAGAGTGGCTGACATGAGAGTCTGGGCGAGGTTTGGAAAAATAGTGTACAACTTCTCTAAAAGCAGGGCCCCAGGTCCTTTGCTTCACAAGAATGATCATTTACCATGTCACTACTTGACACTCATCATATTTATGCAGCTAAGCCGGGGGTGGCCAAGATGTTACATATCAGAATGAAGGAAAGAATTATCTCTCAGTCTTTGACCTTGAGAAGTCCTGTTGGCAGGTGAACAGAGAAAAACTGGGTGGCGCGGCAAGCTCAGTCCCACTCTGTTCCAGTGGTTCAGCGACAATCCAGCTTGGTAGGTCTGAGTTAGCTCCAGGAAGGATCCCGCCAGCTCACTCCAGCAGCAGTGGCTGAGTAGGCCCCTTCCCTGGTCAGGAAGCTCTGCCTCAGCAGTGTGGGAACTGCTTCTTCTTCTTGAACACTGGGCTCCACTCCTTAAACTCTGACGGATGAAGACCCATACATCCCAGTGACATTTCAACTTGTGCATTTTCCCCAGTTAATTCGTTTTACATGTACAGTGTGCCTGCCATGATGTGTGTGACTGTGCCCCTGGATTCACCAAACAGCTGCCAGCTGAATTCTCTCACGCGAGAGAATCCTGGCAATGCGAGCACACCGGCATTAATTATTTATAAACACAGGCTAGAAGGAAGTCAAAATCAAAGTCAAGTGAAATTCAAAACGTAGAGATGGTAATCTTAAAGCAGCACTTGATTCTGGGGTTCAACATGTGACAACAGGAATGGACGTGAACGTCTCTATTTAGGGTTCGACTCTGAAGTGTAATTTGATTTCCTGGAAATTGTTTCCTCTTGGATTAGGTTGCGGTGAAAACACCAAGGCGCGTGACAAGGACAATGGCTGCCTGAATGGGCTTCTCAAAGGTACGAAGTAATGAACTGAATGACTCAAGTCCAAAAATACCACTTAGGTCTCCAGAAAGTGGTAGTTTCAGGTACTTTTAGCCCTGCATTACCCAGATAGTTGTCTCCTGCCCATTCTACACATTACATATGTGAGGAAACAAGGTCTTAGAATAGAGGCCATAAATCCTGGGGGACATGATAACGAATACGTTGATTCCCACATTTTACATAGGAGTCTGCCTAGGGAAATTTTCCCAAATTAATGAGCATGCTTGTAGGCAATAAATTAAATAAGACCACCATGCTGGATTCTTAAAAATGAACCTATAAATCAACAGGAAGTGAATTTCACACAAGCACAATGCAGAATGTGAAAATGAGAAGACCCGGCATTTGCTCTCCTACCTGGGCTCTCCTGAGTCATTTTCCTCCTCTTCTTCCTCACTTCCGCTGTACTCGTATTCTGTCTCATCTATAGAGAAATTCACAGAAGGTTAGTGCATAAAAAAGATACCAGAGCTCTGTAAAACCCATCCCCCTTGTTTTATAGGTAAGTAAACTGAGGTCCAAAGAGCTTTTGTTGACTCTGAGATCCAGGCCTCCAGATTTGAGCTCCAAGAGTTCCTATCAGCTGGATTCAAGTACATGGAATTAACCACATCTAATAGTGTCCCAGACAACTCCAGATCTCTGTCCCTAACGGTGTTCACAAGGAAGTGAAAATGAGGAATGGAAACATCACCTTTCAGTTTGTGTTAATTCATGATGTATATAGAACTACCTCAATACCTCAATGAATCTTTTATTGGCTCACTGTTAATTTATGGACCGTATTAATCGGTTTTCAAGTAGGAAATTTAATATGACTTATATGGACTCACAAATTGCTTTTAGATATCTTGATACATACCAGACAGATACTTTTGACAATATGTGCTATTAAAAATATAGTTAAATGTGTTTTAATTGACCCGCTGGGGACATCTATTTAATTCAATATTATATTAAGCAACTTAACATGCAACAGTGAATAAGACTGAGTCTTTGCTTTGGAAGAATCTAATGGGCAAGAGGGACAAATAACAAATTAGAGTCCCCATGATTATGAAGAAAGGGAACTAATCTTTGTTGGGTATCACCCACACCAGCCACCATGCTAGAGGCTATACTCATGTTCTCCCATTTATTCTTTTAAGAATCTTTTAAAATAATACCTGTTTTTCAAATGAAGATACTGAGATTATAAGAGGTTAAGTAATATGACCAATGTCATTTCATTAATAAATCTGGGCTTTGGATTTAGAATTCAATACAAAACTTTTCCAATTTTAAAACTAGTCTTCCAACATATTATATGCTAAATAGAAGTTCACAAAATTGCAATGTGATATCAGAAAAAGAAGCAGCTAAGTCCACTGTAGACGGGGCACAGAGAAATCTTTGAGGGGAAACGAGCATGGCCTTAGAAGGTCACTGGCCCTTTTCCAGGCAGATGGCAGCTGAAAGTGGTGAGAAAAGAGCTTTCTAAGCAAAATAACCACCTGACAGTGGCTGACAGTATCCGAGTGCATGACATATTCAAAAAACAGTGAGTTGTGAGTGGCTAGATCCGCGCATAAGAAAAGCAGGTGGCGTGAGAAAGGCTAGCAGGTCTGATATGGCTTGCTGATCCTTCCATAAACCACACCGAGAACTTTTCTGTGGGCAGTGGGCTCCTTTGGGGGAACTTTTCATTTCGACCAAGGGAGGGTAATGTCACATTAATGTTATACTTTCATAGCCATGGATTAGTAATTACAATTTGGCAGATATTTGTGCACCCGTAAGAAGGAATTAAAACTGCAATTAGTTTATATTGCCACCAGGGGCAGCAGATACATGCTGAGGACTACTGCATTTGATCATAAACTTTAACACACTTTGCCTTCCATACCGTTTAGCCATTAAAGGGATTAAAAAAAAAAAAAATGAAGCCGAAAGTGTGATGGCTTTAAGTGTATTTTTTAAAATCACAAGTTAGCTTCACATACTCAATTTTAGTCCACTTATGAAATGTAAAGAACCTTCATAAAGTGTTTCAATATTCTACATTAAAAGTTTAATATTCCAAACTTTCCTGAAATGAATCAACAGAATTCAAAGTAAAATGAAGAGATTTTATCTATTAAAGGGAATGATAACAAGGAATAAAGCACCCAATTAATCTAATTATTTTTACTCTCTAGGGTAGAACCTTCATTTATCAGCCTCCTAATTATAATATTTCTCCAGAATCTGGTTTGATTGCTTTTATATTACTGGCTTAAATTAGCATGTGTCAACATATTTTAAGGAAAAGATATGAGGTAAAAAAATCATAAAGCAACGCACATTAAAATTGTTTGATTCTACAGTGGTTACCAGAAAGGAAGAGGAGTTGGGGGAGGTAGAAGAGCCTAAAGGGGTCAAATATGTGATGATGGAAATATAAGACTTGATTTTGGGTGGTGATCACACAGTGTAATATACTGATGATGTATTACAGAACTGTACACTTGAAACTAATATAATCTTATTAACTGACATCACCCTAATAAATTTAATAAAATTTTAAAAACTGTTTGATTCAACCAAAAGCTGGTCTTAGAGTGACTGAGAGTAGAAAAGTATTAAAGGGAGAAAATTAAGTCATTTGATCAAACTGAGCAAACGGAATAAGATATTTGATCAGTGCTCTTTCTTGGGGAGCAGACCAAAATGAGGCTCTAAGTCTCATCAGAATTAGGTTCCTTAAATTTCCATGTAACAGTTGAGTATCCCTACCGCCTAAAATGTTACTCTTCTACTTTGCAGAGAAGGAACACATTAAAAATAGTCTATTTTTTTCATGGGGTGGAGAGTTCTGACTCACATTCCGGAGTCTGTAACACCAAAATGTGAAAATAACCTGAGGTACAAACTTTATCCCTTCCTATTGGTCAGGGGCAGAGAGGTCGGAGGTTCTCAGAAAGTAACCCTGAACAGTACTGGAAAATTAGACATCAATAAAGAATTGTCTAAATAAGAATAGATAACACTTACTGAGGATGTCCATGTTCCAGACATTGTATTCAGAAATTTACATGCACTCTCCCACTTAATCTTTGCAACAATGCCAGTCAATACTAGTTATTATAAACCCAGTCCTATTTTAAAAATTAGAAAACTAGGGAGAAGTTCACCTAACTCTTAAAGGGCAGAGCTAGATTTGAACTCAGAATCTGAATCTGAAAACAGGGTTCTGAGCACTTAATCTACTCTATGTACCCACAGTAAATTAAAGTTCCTTTTTAGAGAAGGTTACCTGGAATGGCTGCATGTCTGACATACCACCTTAAAAAAGTCCCTTTAAAATTTTGATTCATGGAGTGGCCTATGACCACTATTAAAAAAAAAAAAAAGCCCAGCAACCTCTTTTCTATCACTGAGACTGTAAGAACGTTCATTCTGACTTCCAAATAACTAAATTAGACATGAACCTCTAGCATAAAACTCAAATGTTGAAAACTGCCAGCATAGAAAAATGTCAACTAGATTTTTTTTTAGGTTGTCTGTCTTCTGTAGATTTTTAGTCTTCAAAACATGAATATTCATTTGAATTAAGAAAACCACTTGTCATATGAAACCGCTCCATAGTATCACTCAACAGGACTCTCTTTGTTCAGCGTCTGGAGAAGGTAATATTTCTCGCAGTTCTATTCTCTCGTGAAAGATTCCATTCAGCATGGCACTCCACTGATGCCCACAAGCCACGACCTCGGGGGCAGCCCCTCACACTTAAGAATAATGCAGGGCCATTTGAAATCCCCTCAGTCACCTTCAAATACATCAAGAGCTCAGGACTCACTCGATCTTTTGTTTCCCTTGTTGAAATACAAATGTGCTTCTAACCTTTCTCTCCTCGCTTTTTCTTTGTCCTATCGATATGGTCCTTAAGCTGAATGCGGACCTGTCGTTCATTAGGTTGGTCTCGTATAAACGGATGCTTCATCAGTTGCTCTGTCGCTGGTCGCTGGCTATGATTCTTTACCAAACAGCTCTCAATAAATGACTGAAATTTTTTTGACCTGCCAAACAAAAGAGATGAACCACAGATTAAAAGACAATCCAAAGAAAGGCAAACATATTTTTTTGAGATGTTGGAATTAAAAAAGAATAAAGAAAAATAGGTCCAGCCGGCCAACATAGAGATCAACCCATCACAAAGTGGGTCTAGCCCTTTATTAGGCACAATGGGTTCTTAGGCATCATCACCATCAACACACAACTTGTGGAATCCATGGTAGTGATATATGTGAAAAGTATGTATTTTTTTGCACAGTTTATACATAATATCTCACAGAAAACCAAAAGAAACCAGAGAAGTAAAAGACCCTGCTGGGAATCATACCTGGAAGTTCTGTTGGAATAAGAGAACCAGAGCCGGGTCTTATACAATTAGGAGGAAATCACTTTGGGGAAAGGACAATTCAAGGAGGCATAAAATCAGTGAAAAACTACAGCGGGGAGTGAGCACACTATATATCAGGGGACAGTGAAGTGTGTTGTCTAAGTGAGGCAGAAATGCAAGCTGGGAAAAGGAAAACCAAGGTTGGATTGGGGAGGCCATTTAGTAAAAATAAGCAAGATTATTCTATGGCAAAGTGAAAATTAAGAAAAAAAATTTAACTGGTAAATTCTGAATCATTTTTGAACTTTGCTTTCCAATTCATTAGAAGAGGATATATGTATGTGTTTGCTATCAACCCAAGGACGTGGAAACTTAACTATAAGGGACTAAGTTCATAACCAGCAGCAAATTATCTCCCTCTATACAGGCAATATTTCTTCAAAGATACACCCTGTGCCACAGACCCACAGGGTCAGGAGATGATGTAAGACATCACACCAATGATTAGGGCAGCAAGTACACAATGCAGTAGAAATTAACGGTGGACTTTAGCTATGATTCATGAGTTGATCATGCATGTTTTTGCTGAATTTATTATTTTCCGGAATGATAAATAATTAAGCTCATGACTCTACAGCATGCCTTTCTAAGGTGTTCCACAGCACATCACCCTCCCAGACCTTGGCGGAGCCCTGGTCACCCCTCTCCTCAGAGCAGGAAGGTAATCTGTTTTGTGCTCTCTGTCGCCCTCTTGTGAAGCACTGTGGTGTTACAGGAACAGATTCCAGGAGCTAGCCTTCCCCAAGTTTCCTGGGAGGCCCAGGGCAAGCCTCTGTGTGTGTGTGTGTGTGTGCTTGCATGTACGTTTACTTAAGGCCTGAAATGTATCCTCACCAATCAGAATACAATGGTGAGCATCTTCTGCACCATTCAAATACAAAAGGACATTCTTATATGCACCACTGTTCAGTCCTGCCCAGGTCAAAGCAGTTTCTCACCTTTTCCCCTCTTTTTAAAATACCGAATTATTGGTATTTTTTCCTCCCTAAAATTCTGAGCTATGTTCAAGCTTTTAAATTAGTTTACATAGAAGTAAAGGTAACCTTCTATGCTTGGGGTCACCCCAGGATGAATCAGGATTGGACTAGAAATAGTGACAGCACTACAGACATGCTGTGCCTCCCTCTAAGTCCTTCAGTCCCCACTTGCTCTCTCCACACTGGCAACAACCCTCAGTGGTCGGACATGCTTGCGTCATGTCTGTACCATGAGCACCCTACCTGCTCTTACACGTTTGATAAACCTGAATGCATGAAGGGTTACCAGCTGAGAGTTCTGGACAAGAGCTGTCAGAGGGCCACCTTCAAATCTGTGCTCATGGTACAGACTTGGAGAGTACTGTTGGACAGGCTTTCTCTCATCCACCAGGGAAATCTTCGGAGGCACAAATGTGATACCACCTAAAGAGAGACCTTGTACAAAACAAAAAAACAACCCCAACAACCTATAATGAATTCATGAATCTCCCCTAAGGAATAACTGAATGAGATTAACATGCATAAAGAAATAAACAAACTCTGCACGGTGCTTTTCTAGGTAGAAAGTCCCTACTGCAGCAGCACGGAGGGACCTGGAGAACATTATGCTAAGTGAAATAAGCCAGTCGGAGTAAGACGAATACCATATAATTTCACTCATATGTGGAATCTAATGAACAAACTGAACTAACAAGGAAAACGGGGACAGACTCAGAGATGGAGAGCAGATGACAGCTAGTGGAGCGGGGAGGTGAGGGAGTGAAGGGATTGAGCAAAAAGGAAAAAGGGCTCATGGACATGGACAGCAGTGTGGTGACTGCTGCGGGGAGTGGGTATAAGAGGACTAAATGGTAATGGAAAAAAATATACGATAAAGGTTCAATTTAAAAAAAAACAAAAAAAGGAGAAAATCCCTATTAGAAAAATGAAAACAAAAACAAATTCAGACAGAAGACTATTAAATATTCACAAGGAATGCAAATGGAAGTTTTTTTTTCCACTTGCAAGTAGAAGGAAGTGTTCATTTTTTATAAAGTGGTCGGCTATTAATTAGAGGATGATAAATAAATCATGCCCAATTTAAAAATGAGATCCAGGCTTAACAGACTGCCCATTCCATTCCCTGATACTGGCACCTCAAAAAAGTCAGAGGAATCTCCAGGATGAAAATGTGTTCAAGAAGTTTCATGGAACCCACTTGGTACAGGGTCACGTTTCCAGAATCTATCCTGGTGGGAAAGAACCTCAAGAGATATTCAAGAGGATAACTGTGGGCTCAAAGCGTATGGGTGGGTGGGGGAGGCAAGATGCAGAACCGCGAAGCTGGAAATGTATTCCACATCTTCTGCAAATGGCACTGTGTTTGAAGAGAAAAAAATGCTTACTTACAACAAGTCTTCAAAGAAAGATTCATTGCCTCTTATTTAAATTAGTGTGACCAAAGAATCAATATACTTAATTATACATTTAATTAAAACTAAAAACACTTCACCTGTGTTGAACACCACCTGGCTGTTTGCTGAGTGGTCTTAAGGGTTTAAAGTACATTTATATGACTTTATTGTTAGAATCTCTGCTGCCAGTAATTTAGTTGTCTTTTTTATTTTAAAGAAATGCCTAAGATTAGTAATACTAATTTCCCAAGAGTTGGCATGGAGAGATAAATGTTAATGATTGGAGCTTAAAGTCTGAGACATTAGTTCTTATAATACCAATGTCACTGGATACTTTATCCTCCCAGTCTTTCCTGTTTATATAATAAATTGTGTTAAAGGAATTAAAAATGCTCAAAAGATTATTACATTAATCATTATAACCAGACAGGCAAAAAGTTTTCAGTAATCACAGAACTGACTCCCTAAATGTATTTTGACCTTTAAAACGTTTTTGCCCAGAACTACCCTTTTTTTCTATTTGAGCCTCCATCACTTCCTGTGTGACTGTCTGTGCCGCAGTTCCCCTGGCTGCAAACGTGGATGTCGTTAAGTACTTATCTCAGAAGACTGTTGTGATAATTAAATGAATTAATTCATGAAAAATGCTTACAATGGTGCTTGCTACATGTATGTACATGCATTTGCACACATAAATGCTATAGTTGTGTTTGTTATTATTGTTGTTATGATGATGATGACAACGACAATGACGATGTCCCAGCAATCTCTAGCCATCACCAGGCTTAAATATGTGTCTTGAGGGCTGGGAGTAGAAATTGAGACGGTCTCTCCATTTCTATTGAATTGAATAATATAATGTTCTTTGAGGGAGTTACTTCACATATATTTGGATTAGATACGCTGGTAGGAAGAGTCAACAAGACTGTTACTGCCAATGAGACTGCAGAAAAGGTTAATTAAAAAAGTTCATGTAGCAATTTTTGTTTTGACGTTAATAAAGTCCAAAGTTACACTATTACTAGCAAATTCAGTCTATTTGAAGTATTTTCTGAATTTGCTATTATCACTCTATTATTTAGAACACACACATAAGTAGCTCTGTCATTTCTTAAAACGAAAGTGCCTGGTGACCCACCAGGAATCAGAACTGGTGTTTCAGAAAGTAAGAGGAGTCACTGTAAGTTCTGGAGTAAAAGCAGAAGGTCAGGCTTCCAGGCTGGCTCTCCCAAGGATGGGCTCTGGACTGGCCAGGTAACCTCGCCAGGCCTGGCAGCCAAAGCGCAAGTGGGAGTCTTCACCTCTTTCTGGTGGTAAGAAATTATGATTCTTTTAATGATCTCAACGGAGCACAGCTTTGCCTGTGTGGAATCTTCACCTTCAAAGGGCACATGAAAAGAACAAGACCAACCGTCTTTTAAGGAACGAAGTTATCTCCATCTTCCTCGGGAAACTCCTGTGTGAGGGCAGGGGAGTGTGGGCGCACGTGGTGGGAAGACATCCTTTGTGGGAGATGGTTGGCCCATCTGGGTTGACCCCAGCCACACACAGAGACAGGAGGAGGGACTGGGAGTCCCAACTACTGTCCATTTGCTGGCGAGGTCATGGAGATGGAGGTGAGCACACCTTGCTCTCTTCTATTCAACCAAGAGACCGAACTACCGAATGACTGAGCCAGCTGAGCAATGACTAGAGACCCCTGACTGTAAGACTTCCTTAGCTCTGAGTCTTCTCCTCCTCACGTTGCTGGGGGAAGGAAGGGCCAGGTTCCTGCCAGGAGGGATGCTTTCCTTCCTTTTTTAGAATGAAAGGGGCAAGAACAGGGCTACTGCCTTTCTTTCCTCAATAGTAAGGTACAAGGAAAAATGTGCAACTAAGAGACTGGTATAGCTCATTCTCTACCACTTTAACCTTGAACTTAAGAGGCCGAGTGGTGCAGAAGAAAGAATGTGAGTTACAAACTTAGGAAACTAAAAGACTGTATACCCTTGTGCAAGGAGCATGACCTACCTGAGCCTGGCTCTCATCAGTAAAATGAGGACTCAGAGCATTTGTCTGACAGGGCTGGGGCTAAGATTATATATGTATCTTAACTTTACATACACACACACCCCCACACACACATATACATTACTGAGCCTGCAACATACATATTTCTTATAGGCCTTGTATGTTGCAGATTCAGCAATGTGAGTTGGAAATGATCTTGACTAGAATGCTTATAATGAAGAGTTCACTGCCCATCTCTACCCCAAGGCCGCCCCCCTTTGGTAGTATGTTCATATTACACAGAGAACAGTGCACTTCCACTGATAATTCATTTAGGCAAAGAATAGCTGGATATAAAAGAACATTTTGGAGTTTCGTTTCTTTTGATGTGGCACCGAGGTCTCCTCCCTTAAAAAATAAAAGGAAAATAAACAAAGTGCTTCTCTTCCTCCCAAACACTAGAAAGAGCGGATTAAAGCACACCCCATTTTAAATCACTGTAGACCTGGTTCTCCAAGACAAAGCACAACACACCCTTGAACAACACCATTTTGAACTGTATGGGTCCACTTATATGTGAATTTTTTCAATAAATACAGAGTGGGCTCTCCATATCCCCAAGTTCTGCATCCGAGGATTCAACCAACTGCAGGTTTGGAGGGCTGCAGGTATGCCTTGGTTTATGTCACTTTATACAGTGACTTGAGCATTCATGGGGGTCCTGGAACCAATCCCTCAAAGATATCAAGGAACAACTGTAGCAGAGTTTTTAGGGGGGGGGGTCAAAAGTTTTACGTGGGTTTTCAACTGCACAGGGACTGGCGCTCCTAACCGTGGTTCAAGGGTCAACTGCACTCTGCACTGAGAAACTGGAATTCTATTAGGGAAAAACGGGAGCCACACCACGTGCCCTGTGGCTGGAGCTGTGCACCGCCCCGTCAAGGCCAGGCTCTGAAGGGAGAGAGCGCTTTACCAGGGCTGTTGTTTCCCCTGCTCGCTAGCAAAGAGCCGGTAACTTTCCCTTCCCTGCCTGGCAGTACGGCTCTCTTGCTCCTTCCTGGCCTTCCTTCCGAGTTAGGCAAGGGCATGTAAGGAGGCTAGGTGACATGAAGCTGGCCTGCCTCCTCACTGTCCCCGGACTGACTGGCTCCCTGCAGTATCGTCCAAGTTCTCATTGCCCAAGGGTGGAAGCAGAAAAGACAGATTGTATGTTCCACAAAGTCTGTATTTCTCTAACAAGGTCAACGCAGGGTTGATTTTTTTTTTTTTTTGAACAATGAAAACTAAAATCCCAGTATAGGGGCTGTTCATTTAGTCTTCAGAGGGGCCAGGCAGGTCACGCAAAGGGCAGTGAAGGCCAGGTTAAGAGAAAACAGGACACGTGTGGTGATCAACCGGCTTCAGTTTCTGAGCTGGGGAGAGGTGGTGACAGGGACAGAAGGACAGTCTCTTACCCTAAAGGGCAGAGGGGCCCTTGGCAGGGAGGCACTGCATCAAACCTTTGCACAAAGGCCAGACATCTAAATGTTATGAGCCATCACCAGATTTATAACAGTTGGCAATTAATACAAATATTCTTCAAACAAAACCTATGTGTGGATGGCCCTCTTGTCCTCTGTGGGAAAGCTGGAAACATCTGTCTAGTGGCAGTGCAGGGAGAGTAGAAGGGAACAAGGTGCGTGAAGCCCACTGTGTACCGCAGGCCCCATGGGGAGGCTGGGAGTGAAGGACAAGCAGAAACCTAGCGCCACAGACACTTCCAGGGGACAGGACTGAGCTGCCTCCTCTCCCCAGGGCTCTGTTGCAGGGAGAAAGAAGGAAGCAGGGCCCGGGCACCCCAGCGATCACATGCTGTGCGGGCGCCCAATGGAAGGCTGTTGCTGGGGAGAGAACGGTCCCCTCACACCACAGTGACCCTCCGGAGGGAGAGGCAGGAGCGGAGAAGGCTCTGCCTCCTTGTTACCAATAGCAACTCTCTCTCTCTCTTCCTGCAGCCTGGGCAACTCCTGCGCTGTTGTCCCTTCCGGCTGTCTCCTTCCCTTTCTCGGTGCTGTGTGCCTTCCTCTTGTTCCACCAGGGTTGCTCTGCCTTTCCTAGATGACTGGTATTAATCGAGACTGTGCTCCGCACAGTGGAGGGGGAAATTGTGGGTGGGTGGGTAAGAAACAGTGGGGCTCCAGTCAAGGGCTTAATCATGAAGTGGCACAACAAGGGGCAGAACTGTCTGTCCCTCTAACTGGCCAGCATATGTCTCTAGAAAAGTATAGGGGATCGCAGGTGGTCCAGAAATTGGCCTGGTGCAAGGGGAATCACAGGTTTGAGAAGGCATCAGGAAGGATGCACCAAAGCCGCCAGGGTAAAAGGAGGGAGCAATGCATTTTTGTTATAGGCTGATTAGGCACAAACACCCTGATATACGTACAATGTGTCAGAAGTCCAACGTCCGGCCTAACCTGCCAATATCCGTTTCCCAAACGTCAGGCAACCATGTACCACTGACACAATTTTTCACCAAACCCTTACACCACCCAGACTAGAATTCACTTAGTATTTTTCCTTTAAGTCACTTTTTCATGTGAATAAGTTTATTAAAAGAGAGGCTCTATCACTACTCAAAATAAGAAGCCAGTATTGCCTGCCATAAAGAGAAAGCTCTAGAAAACCAAAAATTAGAAATGTTCATGCAGTTTCATGAAGCCATCTCACATACTAAAAGGTATGTGTATGCACTTAGAGAACTACTGTCTTAAAAAAATAGAAGAGAAGGCAGTCAACCTAATGAGCTGATTCTCTGAACTATTGCCCTCTATTCTGAGATGTTCTGTGCCACTAGAAAAGACATTACTTGGATTCCACTATCCATTTTAGCTGAGCTCCTTACCTGAAAGATGTGGGGATAAAGATCTGCTGTGCAAATACAGAAGGCCCCCCTTATCCACGGGGGCACATTCTGAGACCCCCAGTCGATGCCTGAAACTACAGACAGTGCAGAACCCTAGAAAGATTATGTTTTTTCCCCATACATACGTGCCTATGATAAAATTTAATTTATAAGTTAGGTACAGGAAGAGATTAACAACAATAACTAATAAAGAAATAGAACAATGATCACAATAACTGCAATCAAAGTTATGTGCACGTGTCTCTCAAAATATCTTACTGTGATGCACTCACTTTTCTTCTTCATACAATGATGGGAGATGATACAGTCCTATACAATGAGACGAAGTGAGGTGAACGACGTAGGCGTTGTGATGTAGCATTAGGCTACACAGGGTCACCTGCTTTGGGTGATTCTGGAGCATTAAGCCATGACAATGTCGATGGCTGGGGAAATGTAATACTTTTGGACAGCAGTTGACCACAAGTAACTGAAACCTTGGAAAGTGAATCCATGGATTAAGGGGAACTACTATAGTAACTCAATATGCATTATTCAATGAAATGTATGACTCATATTAAAACGACTCACCAAGTCTTAGTGTATATAGTCTAATCCTGTCAGCAGGACCTAAGTATTCAAGTTAGTCCAAAAAAGAATCACAGGAAAACCCGCCTTTGGATCTATAAAACACTGAGGGCCAAACTCACCATTTCTTAGACTTCAGCCGTGGCGCTGGGTTCCGGGGGATGAGGAAGAGGGCTCTCATTGGGTGCATGTCACAGAGAGCTGCAAGAGACCAAAACAAGGGCCAGCTCCAGTGAGGAGGCCGAACTCACGCCAAGCGTGTCCTAGCTGTGCAGCCAGTGCTGCCAAATGGCTCCCTGAGTCCACGCACGGCCAGCGAGCGGAGTCAGGAGAGCGCGGAGCCTCCATCTGGTGAGCACTGGAAGGAGCTGATGTCTAATTACAGGAGTCTCTTAAAATACAACATGTTTCAGCTAGATAGTAACATCTCCACTTTGACTTTATAATTAAGGAAACAAAGTTAAAGGGTCAAGGAGGTTTGCTTTGGTATAAATAACCACCTAGAATTCCAAGTAAACAACATCAAGATAACAACTACAATGGAAATGCTTAAGTTATTCTACATAGTTAAAAGCTCAAGTGTTAAAAATAATGGATCTTTGAGTACCTATGATCTATTTCTTACACACCGAAGGCTCATCCAAATGCAATGTTCTCTACGTAGATCTTGAGTATAAAACACTACACCAGACACCATTCTCCCTATATTTCCAAACACCCTCAATGGCTTTCCAGGTTTTCTGATGGGTTTTTGTTTCACTTCATTCCTTGGCCCCAGGAAGACCAGAGGATTAAGGCAAACGAAGTCTGGCAGGAAAATTATAAAACTTTCTCAACTTATAAACATGATATTATTGTTTATAGTGAAAGCACTCAAACATTCTTATTTTAATAAAAAATATCTCACTAGTTTACTTTTCAAATATCTGGGAGTACCTTTTCCTGTGCGTCTAGAAGAATATAATCTCCCTTAAAGCTAAAGAATTCTGTGGACTGAAATTTATTTTTAGCCCTTTCAACCATATTATCAAGAATGATAATATGGTTTTAAGACTGTACTATATTATTTTTACAGTTCATAAATGCCTATTAGCATTGTGGATGAGGGGAAATTTGTCAACAGACTTGAAATCAATCACACTATGTATGAATTCTACCAACTCTAGAGTGGGAAATAAGAAAATTATGATGACTTGAAGGTAAAAAAAAAAATCATATGATCTTAACAACCTGTCCTATAAATAAGGGGCCTCTGAAAAGCAGGCACCAAGGTGTTGTTAAATATGAGAAGGGGAAATTTCTGCCTCAAAGGAAGTAGGGAGGGAGCCAGGGAAGGCTGGGAGAGTCATCAGATTGCTATGCAAGTCTCATCAGCGTGAGGTGAGAGGGCGAACAAGTGGGCAGAAGTGTGCAGACTGTCTTCCAGCCTAAGGAAACGAAGGAATAAAACTGAGGAGTGAAAGCTGCCTGCAAAGAAAGGAAGCCTGTGCCTTCCAGGACATGCGCTGCTGCCTTATGTCCCTGTCATGCTTGGTCACCGATGGGGAGTGGCCGTAAGAGGTGCAGTCTCATTGCCACGGCAGCAGGTAGGCGCTTGGTCAGTGGCATGGCCACCCAGGCCTGGTACAGGTGCTGTGTGAGGCCAATATTCCAGATCTCAAGGAATCTGAGAGATTCTTCAGAGAGCCAGAGCCTGGGCCATGCCTGAAATAAGTAGGGAAGTCTAAAAACCTAAACATCAGTGTTTCCACAGGAGTGAAAGCAGCTGAGCATAAGTGTTTGTGTGACACACGCACTGAAAGTCGGCTTTGAATTTTTGTTGGAGGGTCCGGTTTCTGTGGTTGGTCCCAGTTTTACATTAGGTGGAGGAAGGGTAGTTAAAGAATCAACTACACCCTGAATCTATAAAATAAACAAGTCTCACAACCCAAAGTTTGCCTCCCTTTTCTTTTTTTTCCGTCATAAATTTAAGATCCTTACACCACTCAGAAGTGAATGGACTCCTGGTTGGTTTAAGATGACTCTGCTTTCTAAATATGCCAGCTTGAATCCATGCAGGGCCTGGCGTAGCAGAAGGAAAGCTACTGCGGCTCCTGGCAAGAAACTTCATACCTGCCGAGCAGACCCGTAACAGATTTCACCCTCAGGAAGATACTTACGGGGAGCACCTTCTGCCATCTCGATAGCGGTGATTCCCAGAGACCACAAGTCACTCTGGAAGAGAAGGAAGGCACAGACACATGCATAAGTGCAGCAAACAAAGGATAACTTGGTTAACCTGGTAATTGCTTCAGAACTGCCTGTGGGAAAGACATTCAGCCGCCTCTTTGCAAACCTATTTCAGCGGGGAAGCTTAACAGTGGCCACAGCCTCATTCACATTCATTGACAATACCTTTCACAGTGCCTGACACGCAGTGAGTTTCCAATAAATGTATGAAAAATGAATATACAGTTTTAAAAATTAATTTATCACTACTCTGGGTAGTGAACACACAATACAATATACAGATGATGTATTACAGAATTGTACACCTGAAACCTATATAATTTTATTAACCAAAGCCACCCCAATAAATTCAATGAAAATTAGTAATCACTAAAATTTACCTATTGTTTGAATTGTATGAAATTGCTGCTAATTGACTGTTTTTCACACTGTTATTGAGGTATGCTGTCATGTAATTAACTGCACATGTGTAAAGTATACCATTTGAAAAGGTCTGACATACGTATACACCGTTGAAACCATCGCTACAATCAAGATAATAAACTTATCCATCACCCCAAAAGGGTGCCACTTGTCTTACTGTTGTATCAGCTTTCTGCCCTTCTTGTCCCAAAAGCCCAGGTTCTCTTCCAAGAGAACCACTGATTCGCTTTCTGTCACTGTGGATTAGTTTGCACCTTGTACAGTTTTATATCAATGAAGTCATCCAGTTTATTTTACTTAGCATAATGCATTCAAGGTCCATCCATGTCCTAACATGTGTTAACACTTCATTCATTTTTATTGCTCAGTAGTGCCCCATTGTAAGGATATACTACAGTTTATCCATTCCCTGGTTGGTGGACATTTGGATGGTTTCCATTTTGAGTTATTACAAATAAAGCTGCTACATTAATCCCAAGTCTTTGTATGAATGCCTGCTTTTATTTATTTATTTTTTTAAGTAAATACCCAGGTGTGGAATGGCTGGCCCACTAGTTGATGCATATGAGGTGGGGCAAAAGTAGGTTTACAATGTTGTGAGTATGCAAAACAGAATTTATTCTTGTATTATTATTTATTAATTATTGTATTATTTTCCACACGAATAACTGTAAACCTATTTTTGCCCCATCCTGTACTTGTTTTTAACACAGAAAATCGACAATTTCATGAGGTTTAACCTAAACAGGGAAACTTTTGGATGGTGGTGATTGCTGATATATTTCCACTGCTTAGAACTGAGCCAGGCACTGTTCTGATATCTCTCTTGACTGAATAAACAATATCTTCTTTCTTGTAAGTAGGCTAATATGTAAATAGAGATTTATACCCTTATATTCTTTCTTATTATGCTCAGACTAATTTTGATGCTCTTACCAGAATTTTCTAGGCCAGTGTCTCACTCTGTACCTGTGCGATCTCCATTTCTAACAATATGTTTCTTCCCCACTCAGTGTCTGGCTCAGTAGCCTTTAAATATTGCATAGGAGGGAGTAACTCAAGAGATGGGGAAAACCAGGTTAGGAAACCCCAAAAAGATGCTTGCTACTTCAGCTTCCCAGTAGATTGGTACATTGTGAAATTTGTTTCAATGGCTCATAACCCTGATGAAGTCTCTCACCCTCTCATTTTAAATGTAGCCTGTATTTGGTATGTTATTCTTAATTTTCACCTGTAACCTCACTCAAATTATACAGAGATCAGAGGTAAATTATGTTTCCTTGAAATACCCATCAAACAAATGTCAAGGCCACATGAAGAGCAGACATACCTGGCAGAGAACTATGAAATTGACGATGAGTTGTTCCCTAGAACTAAACTTCTCAGTATCCTGTGAGTGACACCCAGTCTTATTCAGTATTTGGACAGAGGCTTGTACAATGTGGAGGAAGCTTACTAGGGTGTCTAGCCTCTTGCCTAACATGTAATCACTTCAGAGCAGGTGGCTGGGGCACACACTACATTAGGACCAAGGTGGGGATTCTTTAATTCATGAGCCTGTCAACCTGTTCACATAAATGTTGCAAGTTCCAGCTCAGCTGGGGATAACAACACACCTGCACAATACCACAGTGCTCAGATTCCAAGTAACTTCTCTGCATGGAACACAACTCAGAAAGGCAATTCTTGCTCCTTGTCTTCGTTTTATTTTAAGATACATTCAGAGTTGTTATTAAACACACACACACACACACACACACACACACACACACACAGAGCTTGCATGGCCTAGCAAGTCACTGAGTTTTCCTACAGTCTCCTGGCCTTGCTTAGTTAGTGAGGATCTTTCTGGAGCTAAACGGGAAAGCCTGGTCCACCTATTACAGTTTGGATCAGGAGCAGTAACTGGTAAAGATAAAAACACAGCTCTCTTGAACTTGAGGTTTTATTATGGTTGATTGATACAGACAACATTTTGGGAACATGACAGAAACAATGAGTCACTCACTGTGCAGGAAGCATTAAACAGGAAACACAGCCAGAAGAGTCTGGAAATGGGGGGTTGTGCTGTTGTGGTAAGATTCCGGGACCTCCGGGACCTCCAGGCCTTGAGAGTTCTACCATCCTTTCCCCAACATCCCTAGGAGTTGAGTGGTTCTGTACTGTGAAATGAGGTGCGCATATGGAGGTGAGCCCGGCTGTGAGCCCCTAGCCACCAAGGCAGGGTTACATTTCAGGGGCCTTCAAGTTTAGGAAGCTTAAGCCAGTTGCATCTGAAAGGAAATAATGACTCTGGGATGATAAGGTGCCAGGCCCGTTTCAGGTGGGTGAAGAAAACCCCCCAAAACGCAGGCTACTGTCTGCCTTTGGGTCTTTGCTCTAGCTGCCCCCTCCGTCAGCAGCAGCCATGAGGGCGCCTGAACCTCCCAAGGCAGTGCCAGTCCCTTCTTCCTTTCCCACGTTTGTCCCGCAGGAAACTGATATCCGAGGAAACAACTGTGTGACTTATTCATCACTGAATTGTTATATTTTGTGTTTATTATTTGCACCCCCTACAGCCCACACACACACACACACACACACACACACACACACACACACACACACGTGCGCGCGCGAGAACATAAGGTCCATGAGGGCAGGCATCTTTGCTTGGTTGGCTGGTGTACTCCAAGTATCTGGCACGTAGTAGGCACTTAATCAGTGTTTGTTAAATAAGTAAACAAATGAAAGATACATGAGAGACAGGAGCAAAACCTAAGTGTTCCAAGGCTATTAAATGCCTGGCAGAGCACCTAGTCCAGCAATTTTTCAACCTTTCTCATCTCATGGCGCACATACACTAGCCATGAACATTCTGCAGCACACCAAAAATATATATTAACTTTTTGCTGATCTGACTCAAAAAATAAGTATAACTTTGATTCATTCACACCGGATGACTATTGTTGTGTTGGCTGTTGTCATTTTTTTTATTTGACAGCCTAAGGGGAAAGAGGTCAGTGCCCCTGACTAAACAGCCAGGTACTGAATATTTTAAAAATCCTTGTGGCACACCAGTTAAAATTCACTGATCTAGTCTAATCATTTGTTTCACCGATGAGGAGAAACAGCTTATCCAAGATCACAGAGTAACTCGGCACCAGGTTTAGAACAGTGCTGGGTGTCCTGCCTCCTCAGCCAGTTCTGTTACCTGTCACCACAAAGGAAGGACCTGACTACTCACATTTTTAAAAAAACTTACCTGGGTCCATAAAATAAGATAGATTCTTACTTTGTCTACATGTAGCTGAAGGTGCTGAGACTCCATGAAGCAGCCCTCAAACCAATACTAGGAAACTGGCCTCAACTTTCTAGGGGCAGCTTGAAGAGTCTTTTAAGTCACACAGACCTGGATTCAAATCTAGGTTCCTAAAAACACTGCTCAGAGCTTAGCTTTCTGAACTGCACAGCAGATTACTGTGACATGTCTACATGCAGGTAGGCTGCCCAGCACAAAATCTGGCACACAGTGGCCTTGAGCATATTAATTTCCTTCTCTGTTACTATTAGGTAAAGACTGCTTTTGCCTGTGCAATTTAGTCGTCTGTGATGTCCCCCTATTTGGCTGTGGCAGCCACTGCCTGTTGGCTAACCCAACAGACATTCTCAACCCCCATTTCCTTTGTTGCCTCCACTGAAGAGTACAGGCAAGCCAAACGTGTTTGTCCAGATCACCTTACAGCTAAGGATGGCAATTAAGAATGTGACATAGTTGTGGCCAGTGAGACACAGGCAGACATCTTCTGGGAACTTCTGAGAAAGTTTTGCTTGTCCTGAAATAAGTCACAAATACAGCTGGTGTTTTGGCAACTCTTCCCTACTTCTTAGTGCCTTGAAGAAAAACATGCTACTTGGAGCTACAGCATCCATCTTGCCAACCTGAGGTAATAAGTCAACCAATGAATGATGACAGGGCAGAAAGGTAGGAGCCGAGGTTTTAAAGACATCAATGAGCCGCCACACCAACCTTGAACTGCCTGCATTTAGACCTCTAGTGACTTAAGAAACCTAAGTACAGCCAAAAGCATTCCTTACTGATAATATGTATACAGCAATGATTTGAGGAGGCATGCTTCAACAGCTGGGCAATGGAGAGGTCCCAGCTGTTAGGTGACAGGCGATCCTGGGTTTATCCCATAGGGAGCAGGAAGGGTCAATAAAGAGAGATGCTTCCTTTATTCAGTTGACAACATCTCAGATCCCCTCTTAGGTAGCTTTCCCCAAGTTCCCAAAACAACTCCTTCAAACCCAAGGTCACACTATCCCGACTCCTGTCACATCTCCTGTCACATGATCAGGCCATAAATCACTTCTTCTTTAAGCCCTCCTTTGATAGCATCATTAGGATCATTTTTTGCTACAGTTCTCATGTTTTCCAAAAGGAACATTTATATTTCTGGCCATTTTTATAGAGAGAGAACTGCCTGAAAGCTATGCTTAACTGCCCATGCTAGAGAGCAATGAATGTCCTTGACAGGCCTTGTCTAAGCCTTTGGATGCATTAGCAAGTCCCACAGACA